GACCTGACAGAAGGAGGAAGGTGGCAGGCCAAGGTGCAGAGGTGTGCTCACAACACCCACGTGGGACCACAGCTGTCCCAGCAAGCCTACAAGGGGTCACAAAGCCCAACAAGCTGGAACCTTGCCTCTGGGACTCTGTCTGTCTCAGTAAAGTAGGAACCTTACCCTCATACATAATGCTCCAAACAGCAGTTACTGATGTTGATTTGTATATAAATGAAGCAGCTTCAGGCGACACTGGATGCCTCAATTGGGGCCTCTCTGCTCCCCTCCCCACAGCGGTAAAATGAGCATTTACTTACTGCTTCTTTCAACGCCAAATTCCTTTCCACTTAGAATATGGTGCAGGAGGTTTTTCATATCAAAAGGGCTGAGGTTCATCAAACTTTCAGAAGCTTCTTCTCCTAAAAACAAGCATCTTGTAAGTGTCCCAGACACAAGGCTGCTGGCAGGTGAAGGTAGAATTGGGTGGGCCTTGGGGGTGGTGACAAAGGAAGCTGTGGCAGGTCTCCCTGCTCAGGATTACCTCCCCACTGCTTCAGGGCTGACATGTACTGATCCTTGGTGATTCTAAATGCTACTGTTTAAGTTGTGTATTTTCTTAACTCTCAGACGCATGTTTTCCACCCTGTAATGATCCTGATATTAGGATGCGGCTTGCAGTTGATTTACATATTTCAGTTGTTAGGATTTCTCCCAGCAGGGGTGTTACTAAATAGGCGATGCCCTCATCGCAAGTAGCTGCAGTAAGGAACTGAGATGTCAGGAGCGAGGCAGAAGATTCTGAGGCCTCATTCCCTGACAGGAAATTCAACTGCCTGTGCCGGATGGCCCGGCTGGAAGGTGCATCTAAACTAGAGAAGCAGGTGACGCAGGAGCACGTGCACAGGCACAGCAGCCGGGGTTCCAGAGCGCTTGGGGGGGCCCCTGGGGCCGACCACGCTTCGCACCTGAACAGTTCAGGCTCCGCGCCAGCTCCGTGGCCATCACCTGGATGATGAGTCCGATCCGGAGCCTGAGCATCTCCACGAAGAGGCTGGGCTGCGCCCTGACGTACATGGCCAAGTAGACCACAATCTCCTGGCACAGACACACGGAGACGGCGTTTCAGAGAGCGGGGCAGGCGGAGGCCCCTGCAGCCTGCGGAAGGCCGCAGCCCTGCCTCTCCCCGCCAGCTGACCTGTGTGAGGACGGCGATACTAATGTCCTGCCCGCTGGCCTCGTAGATGAGCTTTGTGAGCTCCTCCGGGGGAAGGGGCCTAGGAAGGGATATCAAGACACAAGCGCCATGAGAGATACCTAAGAGGTGTCTCCTCGCCCTCTGCGGAAGATCCTTATTTTCCTGCTGGAAGCTCCCGAGAGACCCTCTTCTTGAACGGTGGATGGCACTGATGTTTTCTCCAGGGCCCCCACCACCCTGAGGCCCCCGGGTGAGCACTTACGCAGAGATGATCTTCTCCCGGGGCTCTGGTGGCAGGCCCACTGTGAGCTGCGTCTGGTGTGACAGCAGGTCCGTGCAGGCCTACTCATTTAGGGGAAAGCATGAGGGAGAGAAGGAGGGAGTGGGAGAAGGAGAGAGGGGGAGAGGGGGAGG